ATTCTGATGCATAATAATCCAAACATTTGTTTCCATTTTTCAAAAGTCAACTTTACCTGTTTTTGACTTTTTTAGAATTAAGTTGACCAACATTTATTTTCCATAAAATATGCAAGGAAAAATAAATAATGATGTGATATTGTTTCTACTTTTGATATTCAATTTAAATTAATTAAAAAATAAATAATTTTTTTTTTCTTGTTTACGTTTTTATCGAAAGTCTAGAATATTGTTTTTCGCGTGTTATGTATACTGTCTATCACATAAAACCCGTTGTTTGTAAAGATCGTAAAGACGAAAATGACCTTAAAAGTAACAGTTCATTCTTAACCGTGTTTTACTTGATTTCTTTATTTTTTTAAAGCAACAATTTAAAGTAGCTCGTTTATAGAGGAATCTTTCTTTATTTGTTCAAAGCATCTCGATTTGAATATGATAAAATTAGGTCGTTTTAAATGTATTTCTGTTTTCATATGACATTTTAGGTCTTTTATATATATATATATATATATATATATATAGGGGCCTAATCAAATGAGAACTAATTAGTTTGTGGTAACTGTGAGAACCAATATTAACCACAAATAATTAGGAAATTTATAATTTTGGTAATTTTGAATTAAAATTTTAATGAAAGGACATTTTAGGTATTTTCTCTCCTCTCTTCTCTCTCCGTCCTCCGGCCACCGTCCTCCGATGATACCACTGTGATACCTATAAATATTGACTCTGTTAAACAGAAGACACAGTGTGATACCTAAAAATATTGACTCTATTAAACAAAAGACACAGTGTGATACCCAAGCATATATAAGATGCATTGTGATACACTGTGTTACATCACCGATCGACCACACAAATAACCCAAGTGTGATACCCAAGCACACATATATGATGCATTGTGATACCATTGTGGTATCACTGGAGGACGGTGACCGGAAGATGGTGGCCGGAGGACTGGGAGAGAAGAGAGGAGAGAGGAAAGTTTTTAAATACCTAAAATGTCCTTGCATTAAAATTTTAATTCAAAATTATAAATTTCCTAATATATCTATTGATTTGTGGTTGGGATTGGATATCACGGTTACCACAAACTAATTACTTCTCATTTGATTAGGCCCNCCTATATATATATATATATATATATATATATATATATATATATATAGGAATCTTGCGTACTGTGAATGAGGTACCTCCAAAAAAATAATAGTATTTTGTTACCATTATAGAGTGCTAACACATGTTCAAAACGGCCGTGTTGGCATTGACTTAGGATGTTATGCCAAACGTAAGATATGAACATAAACCAAAAGGCCTTTGATCTAGTGGTATGTGCGTCTTTGGCCTCTTAGGATGTCAGTGGTTCAAACCTCACCACACGTGAGGAGGATGTATGAGTTTATTTGTTCTATTTGTTGTATATAAATATTATATACTTCAAAAACAAAGAGAAGATATGAACTCATACATCTTTGTGGAGTAGCACATAGAGAAAGGATTTGATATAACTGTATAAGCACTTTTATACTGATAATACAGTGGCGATTGATATAGGGCTTATTTAATTATAAGCTCGAGATTTATAGCGTGTTTTCTTATAAGATATTAACGAGAATAAAACTTTTGAAAATTATACAAATAATTAAACACGAATATGAATATTTAAAACCATAAAACGTCCACCATACATTATAATATAAATAACTTCAACTCCATATAATATAAAAAATAATCAAGAAGACGTTTTCAAGTTGTCTTTTATATAAAAGAACAATAGAAAGAATCGTTATAACCCACGAACCGTATATTATTCCGTAAATGGTATAGTTAACAAGTCTCGGGTATCGTTAATAACAAAGAAAGTGACTCGTTAGTGAATCGGTAGAAGTTGGATTTATTTTGCAACAATATGTCGGAATTGTGTTATTTTTATAAAATGGTGTAAAATTGAGGGGCTCCTTTAGCAATTCTCTATAAATGGAGTAGACAATGGTCAAAAATTTGTCAACTCCACTCCAGTCTTCAAGTATCTGGCGGTTTTGATAGCTGAATATTTTATTCATTTTTATTTATAATTTTCTCACAATATAATTCATATATAAAATAATGTAATACAAAGTTTATGTGTGTGAATATATATATTTGATTGTATAGACTTGTGATCATGTGAGATTAAGAGTTTTTTTTGTAAGACTCGTAAAACCAATTCTTAACTTTTGGATCAGATCTACAATCTGAACATTCATAATTACAAAATTGCCACCGTACAACTTTAAACCATAAGATCATTAGTTTATAAAGGTAATAATGAACATAAATTGGTCTTACGGGTCTCATAAAAAATCTTTGGTCTCACGTGAACCCAAACCTCATTGTGTGTGTGTATATATATATATATATATATATATGATATATAGATTTGTCGTCATAAGTCACGTCTTGAAAAACGTTATGACCTTACTGTGACTTTTAAGGTTTAAACTTAGCATTTTTCTTTATTAACCATAAACCATGGTTGTCTGGACCAGTAACAGTCAGAAAAATCCCAGTGGCATTGAACTAAACCTTGTCATCACACCATTTAGAACCTTGATATTCACATACCGATTGATTATCAATTAAATGGTTCCTCTTGTTTGTTCAAAATTACTAATTTTGTCATCCTGCTTTCGAAATTACGGTTTTCATGCACGTGATTAACAATAGAAATTATAGTAAGAAGCGTAAGATTAGATCTGAACCCTTAATCACTTTTAATCTTTTATCCCTTCATGAATTGATTAATCCAGTAAATCTCGGATTAATTCTTCCCTTTCTTATCATAATTTTTTTTATCTAGAACCCGACCGTTGATTTGTATACCTAATAAATGTTGTTTATATGTTGCATTTCCATGGCCAGGTAGATTTTTTTGTAGATAAAGATTCTTAATTGGTGGTATTTTGGTGGGGTGGGTTGATGATGTTTGGAGTCAATTATTCCAAGCATTACCCCACCATTCAAATTCATGGAGCTTAAATGAATCATGGAGGTTTAACTTTCAAATCTTCCATTTTTGCTCTATTTTGCTTTTAATTCATGTTATATGATTTCCATATTTAGATGAATTTCTGCAAGCTTTTCTTGATTTGGGAGATGGGTTTTACTCATAAAGCCCTAACAACTCTTCATCTTGTTTCCTTCATCCTTCTTCTTCATTTTCTCCCTGTGTTTCCCCAAATAATCAGCAGAATCGATGAAGGTCAGTCGATTAGAGATGGCGAAACCCTTGTTTCCGCTGGACGAGTTTTCGAGCTTGGTTTCTTCAGCCCTGAGAATTCAAGTCTCAGATACGTTGGAATTTGGTATTACAGAATTCAGAATCAGAGCCGAACAGTCGTTTGGGTTGCCAACAGAAATGCTCCAATTTCCGGCGATTCTGGTGTTTTTAACATCGGAATCAATGGTAGCTTGATTATTTCCGATGGGAGTGGTGATGTTTATTGGTCAAGTAGTAACTCTGTTGTTACAAGTAATCTAACAGTGATGCTCATGGACACCGGAAATCTGGCTCTGTCGACGGTTGAGAACGCCGGTGATGATTCAAACGCTATATGGCGGAGTTGCGATAATCCGACCGATACTTATTTACCAAATCTGAGAGTTTATTTGAACATCAGTCGTGGAGATAGTCATCGATTTGTATCATGGAAAAACCCTAATGATCCTGCAAATGGGAATTACTCCATGGGGGTTGATCCTCGAGGTTCACCTCAGGTGGTGGTTTGGAACGACCAATCACGGCGGCGGCTATGGAGATCCGGCCACTGGAATTATCAAATATTCGTCGGAATTCCACAGATGAGATCTCTACTTCTGTTTGGTTTTAGATTAGTTCCTGTAGATAATGATCTCATGTATTTCATCTTCAATAATCCAAACACAACTGTTTACATGCGATTCTTGATCCAATGGAATGGACTTGTTCAACAATTAACTTGGAATGATGAAACCTCCCAATGGAGTGTTATGTTATCGCAACCTTCAACCGGTTGCGAAGAATATAACAAATGCGGGAATTTCGGCATCTGTAGAACGATTAGCGTTCCTAATATTTGTACTTGTATGGAAGGATTCGATCCAAATCCCGATTCTAGAGATCAATGGAATCGCGGAAACTGGTCTGGTGGGTGTGTTAGAAGAACTCCATTGGAATGCAATTCTAATGGTACTTCTAATGATGGATTCTGGCAGAGAACCGGTGTTAAACTGCCGGATTTTGCCGACCGATTGGTGGTTGGAAGCAGCGGTGATTGCGAAGATGGATGCTTGAGCAATTGTTCGTGTAATGCATATGCGTATGTTTCTGGTGTCGGGTGTTTGATTTGGGGGGGTGATCTGGTTGACGTTGAGCAATTCGAAGAAGGCGGTGAAACACTTTTTATTCGTCTTGCGGATTCGGATTTGGGTTAGTTTTATATTTTTAGAAATATGTTTTTCGATTCCGATTTCGTTATTTTATGAATTATGCTGATACGAAGCGTACTCCGATTCCAGGAAGTACGAAAAAGGTATCTAGAACTGTAGCGATTGCAGTACCAGTCACCGGAGTTGTTGTTCTCGGCATAATCGTGTGGTTGCTATGGAGGTATCGGCAAAGACTTAAAGGTGAAACCTTCTCGAAAACTATATAATTGTTCGATATGGTTTCTATTCGGGACCGTAAAAAGATTGAAACAGCGTTGACTGCTAACGGGTTCTTTTAGAAAGAGATTTAAAGGGGTTCTACATAAATACCCTGCTCAAAAAATTTCTAAATTTCGTTTCCTACGACTACAATACATATGTAAATATTTTTCAGCATTCTGATTTCGTGTTATTTACTATGATCTCTAGAGTGTCGAAATCCATGTGGAAAAGCGACGAATCCGCCACCAGTTTTTGAGGCGTCAAATGGCCAAGAAACTTCGGTGGAGACCTCGGGGCCGCCAGATTATGAAGGGAAAGCGTACGAAGGGCCGTCGTTGCCTTTGTACAGTTCTAGTTCGCTAGAAATGGCTACGGATGGATATGCAAACAAGAACAAGCTCGGGCAAGGTGGTTTTGGCCCCGTGCACAAGGTTAGCTTTTCGTATAAGGCCATGTTTGGCAACAATAAGCTAGCTTATTTTTTGAGCTTATTAAAAAGCCCGCTTTGTTAGCTTAAGCTAACTTTTTGAGAAATACTTCAACTTACGATTCAGTAAGATCCATACGTTTTTTCCAGCTTTTTTCCAATTACGCCCCTTGTGTTTTTCCAATAAATTTTTCAAAACATGTCCTTTTAGGTCATTTTACATTGTCATCTAACTTATGTTTATTATCTAGCTTTTCTGCCATCGGCTAGTTTATCCGCCAACAACTAGCTTATCAGTGAATTCCGAGAAGTTTTTATTAAATAGGAAACTAGTGACTTAAATTGTTCGGCTTTTTCAGGGAATTCTTCCTGGAGGGCAAGAGATCGCTGTAAAACGGCTTTCAAAATCATCGGGACAAGGATTAGGGGAATTCAAGAACGAGATGATTCTGATTGCGAAATTGCAGCACCGAAATCTTGTTAGATTGTTGGGGTATTGCATTGAAGGAGAAGAAAGAATGCTAGTTTACGAATACATGCCTAACAAAAGCCTCGATTCGTTTCTTTTTGGTACGTTACACTCCCCACACACTACAACAAAATCGAGTTTATAGGTTACCAAAAATGTCCGAATTATCCTAACAGACTACTTTATAGGACCAAACACTTGTGTATCATATTGCAAAAGTGTTACAATAAGTTTATAGGATGTTTTTGGGCGTCTTTAACAAGTATTTTAGGACACTCTTGACATAAAGCATCCTATTTGAAAAAATATCCTATAAAACGATAATACGTTACTTTATATTAAAAACGTTCAAAAGTATTCTATGAACTTATTGTAACACTTTATTAGGACACAACAGTCTGGTCCTATAAAATTGTCAACGCAGGACACTTGAAACATTTTTGGTGTCTTATAAACCGAATTTTCTTGTAGTGCCGTTTCAAGTATAAACATGCAATTAAAGATTCTGAAACTTTCTATTTTGGGAATTTTTTTTGTGTATGTAACGGAAGACCCGAAAAGGAAAGCTGAACTGGATTGGAAAACACGATTCAAGATCATCGAAGGGATTGCAAGAGGATTACTTTATCTCCATCGGGATTCTCGGCTTCGGATCATTCATCGTGATCTGAAAGTAAGCAATATTTTGCTCGATGAAGAGATGAACCCCAAGATTTCTGATTTCGGGATGGCTAGAATCTTTGGAGGGAACCAGAATGAAGCGAATACAAATCGAGTTGTAGGAACTTAGTAAGTTCTTCGGCTTTTTATTTACTTTATTTGTCCCAAAATAAAGTAGGAAAGTGGACACTTATTTTAGGACAAACTGTGTCTTATTTATGTACGGTTTCTAATCGTATTCTTATTCAATTCTTGTAGTGGTTATATGTCTCCTGAGTATGCAATGGAAGGTCTGTTTTCGGTGAAATCTGATGTTTATAGTTTTGGGGTTCTGCTTCTCGAGATCATTAGCGGCCAGAGGAATAATAGTTTTCGGTCTGCAGATTCTACGAATCTAATTCGACATGTAAGTTCGCTCTTTCCATCCCAATTATGATTTCAGGAAAGACCGCGTTCATAGATTACTCGTTTCCAACCAGAAATGTGTTTGGTTCGAGTCACGGCACTACAACAAAATGGGTCTTTTTAGGTGTCCTAATTGAGTGCTTAATAAGGCTTTAGGTTTATCGGACCAATAGTTGTGCGTTCTATCGGAAGACGTTAGAGTAAGTTGTTAGGACGAAGATAGGCGACCTAGATGCCTTAACCGGACAAAGAAATATATCATCGTATTAGTCGTTTACGACACTTCTGAAAAGGGTCGTATTAAAAAGGTAGACGGTTTACTTTTTGTGTTCTGTTAGGTTGTCTAACTTCGTTTTAACAACTTATCTTAACGCCTTTCGATAGAACACACCATTATTAGTCTTATAAACTTAAAGTCTCGTTAAGTACTTTGCTAGGACACCCAAAAAGACCAATGTTGTTCTAGCGTGAAACCGTGTTTTTGTGAAAATGTACTTAAGACGACATTCGTAATAATTTCAGGCATGGAAGTTATGGAAGGAAGGGAAAGGCGAGGAACTGATCGATCCATTGATTTTAGATTCGTGCAATAAGAACGAAGCGTTGCAATGCATCCACGTTGCGATGCTGTGTGTGCAGTCGTCAGCCATTCAAAGGCCAACCATGTCGTCGGTGGTGTTCATGTTGGAGGGCGAGAACACGAGCCTTCCGCAACCGAATGAAATGGATATGACGTCACTGAGCTCCGTAGAAATGGACTTGATCATGGAAGGTCGGGAAATCAACATTTCTTCGAACGATGTTACGATTACCGAAGTGGGCGGGAGGTAATGATCGAAAGCGAAAACGGGTTTTGTGTTTCTTGATGTACCAATATCAGAGAAATCGGATTTCTGATGTTTTTCGGTTTCTTGTTTTCTTGAAGGCCGTGAGTCATGGTGCACTAGGAAGAGTCTCGAACAGGTGACTTAACGCTTTCAGTCGGTCGTTTGTCGTACATATATCAAATACGTATAACTTCATGATGTTGGTTTCGATACGATGTAAAGAAATATTTTTGTAAATCTAGAAATTAGAAAGAAATCATTCAAATTTTGTATGAAATAGTTGTGTCATGTGATTTGACGGAATTCATAATTGCCACCAGAAAGGTGTGATTATCGACCATTCAGCAACTTGAAGCAATCTTAATGTTAAAATCTTACATTAACATCCAAAAGTGCATCAATTTAAGCTGCTTTGTCTGACTATTAACTTTAGGGTTCTGTAAAATTAGTTCAGTGTGTGCAAGCAGATCCGAGCATCCACAGTTACAAATCATTGTCAAGATGTACTAACCGAAAAAATGTCAATTTAAATGAATTTCTAAGTTCAACTTTTTCGATATTGGTACAAATACTGTACCAACATGTACTAACCGAAAAAATGGGTATCAATTTATTTGGTTGCTACATGGTATAAAATTTTGCATACCAATTATAATTGGTTGATACATGGTATATAAAGAAAAACACGATACGTACCATGTTCACACCTAAATGTTTCATTGAATAAGTTATTTAGGGTGTTTGAGATTGCTTGTAAAAACAACTTATTGACTTATTTCTGCGTGACACCGGTAATAAGCACTTTTGTGTGTTTGGATAAACAGCTTATACCTGTGTCAAACCGGTAATAAGGAGTTTTTGAAGAAGTTAAACCATTCTAACTTATAATAAGTTGATAAAAACTTTTATATAAAAATATAAGTTGTTTTCAAATAAATAATCTCAAACACCCCTTTAAATTGAGTTTTAAGTTTTGATGGATTCAAAAGTTAGATGGAGGTTTTGGACCTTATGGCCCAACAAGGTCCGATTCAAAATTCAAACAACACACAAAAGGTTTTATAAGAAACTTTCTATCAGTTTTCGTATTTCTATTAATCTCGACTCTTGAATACGAATTTTGAACGTATTATCTTATCGAATTTCCATCGGACTGCTCGTAAGAAGACGGTTGGAGCTCACACCAGACACCCAGATGTACGAACTATTGATTTTGGCCATCTGGTTTCTTACTAAGATAGTTAATTCGTATTATGCTACCTTTCAGTTTTTCATTCCAGCTAGTTGCCCCAATATACTGCAAGTCTTTACTCGAGTCACTGAGGATGGGGAGGGAGGGATTCCAACATGACTGCAGTTCTGACTTGAGAATGTATTTTTGAGATTCTTAACAATTACAGGGAAAAGTTATATTAATACTACTGAAATTGATCAACAAATGATCAGATGTCAAACAATAATGCAGAAATGTAAATAGTTAAGTGATAGAGATAAAAAAGCAAAAGATATAGAGAGTTTCATCAACTTTATTAATTCAATCTTCATAGAAATCTTCTGTTTTGACTGTCAAAAAGACGGTACAGAAATTTGTATTTAAACGTGTTTATCAATTAGTTTTAAAGATTTCAGATATGAAGCTTAAAAAACATGTACATATATAATAAGTTATAATTTGAACTTTTATGTATTAACTACAAAGGTGGTGTCTGATTGGTTTGAGCTTGACTCCAAACGTCAAAACTGCCTGGAGGTCTCAGATTCAAATCCAAGGAGGAATAAAAATCCTCTTGTGGCCACGGAGGTTGAAATGCAGTGACTTGGGGCTACCTGCAAAACAGATGGTCATCATGGGATTAGGCGGGTTGGATTTCCACGTAAATAAAAAAATTATATATAAATAAATAGTATATAATAAGTTGTTTTTAAGTTTTTTTTTTATAAAATACTTAAAAATATAATAAAGATGACTATCATGTTAAAGTAACTAGTTATGTACCCGCTGCAACGTTTATAACAAAAGTCAGTATTTTAACTGAAGTTAATAGAAAAAACATAATAAACATTAATAGGTTAGACTCAAACTATGAAATTTTACTAACGTTAGGGACAAATTTATAATAAATAAAGTTGAAGGACGATTTTCAGTACAATAAACAAACATCAAGGACCAAAAATGTATGTTACTCGTCAACGACCATATAAATACATTTCATCCTTATTTTGTTTGTAACCCAAATTCTAGTGTATATTTTTTGTTTAATTTATCTATACTATATTATAAAGCATTTAATAAAAATTCTTAAAATCATTTTTTATGCATGAAATACTGTATATTGATGCATATTACTTAAAATTCAAGATTACAAGTAAATTATACATAAGTACAACTTATTAAAACTTCATGTTTGAATTCGCGTAACTAACTGCGGATAAACATAACCAATTAGAGGATAAACATCTCATTTTAAAATCTAAAAAATATAAAATATAATTAGGATAATTATCGAGTTCTAACAAAATAATTAATTATTATCTTTATAAGAATATTATATTATTAAACCAAATATAAATTACTTTGTTATTAAACATAAATTAAATTATAATAAAAAATTTGAATTAAAAAATTACATAAGAAAATATGAATTTTAAATAGTTAATTTGATACTAATATCGACATATTTTTGTCAAATTTTTATGATATTTTTCAAATTTATATTTTATTCAAAAATAAAAACATTATTGCTTATTCAGAATCACATAAGACCATATTATAACATCGATTGAGATAAAGAATAAAATGAAATATTAAAATCAAGATGTACCTCGCTACATTGCACGAGTATCCTTCTAGTACATTCTAGTACATGCATGATATTTTATATCATAGGTTTTGAATTTAATTTTAACTATTAGATTCTCTATACTTTTGTGTACAATATCAGTTCGATTTGATTTTCTTTTTGTTAATCATGGATGTCTGGATCAGTTTGTGCATCTTGACTAATCCCATGGAGTCTTGAAAAACCAGCCAGAAAAATCTCCAATGACCATGAGAAAACTCGAACCAGTGACCTATAAAGAGTATCCTTAAAGCCGAGTAAGCAATCAAAGTCGAATTTACCTATTGGTTCAAACCGGTGGTTCCAACGTAATGTATGATCTTGACTCATTTTTTAGGTTTATAATACGTATGAATCAATTTAGTCTTCCGTCTGTAAGTTTTCGATTTGTTTTTTTATGGTTATTATATGTCAACAAGTCAATTGCTAAAAACAATTCTACTGGTTTATTATAAATGGTCGTCAAAATCTTGTTACAGTCAATCTGTTGACGTGTAAAAGCCCATAACTCTTGACAAACACAAACGTTAAAGTAATTGTTTATAGCATTAGGTGAGCATGCCAAACACTTTTAAGTCCATTGAGACAAATACGCTTGTTTGTCTACATTATGCATGACATATTTGTTCCTATCTTATAACGTTGAAATCAGATTAACATATTTTATGCACGTGCATATTTTTCGTTAACATTTAACGATAATAATTGATATTACTGATCTGGATAACCTTCATTGGAAACAAATTGGAGAAACTATGTGAAGTTATTTGATAACCGTGAGGTTTTTGGCCAGCTTTTGCGCACTGGAGCATCCCCTGAGTGATCACGAATGGCGTAGAGTCATTACAAGTAAACCATTATGGCCACAATGGCTTTAGCAGCGCCTGGATTCGAACTTGTAGAAGATGAAATTTCCAGTACGTCCCTGAGTCTTAATCAATGCATCACAACCCAAGTCGTTGAAACTATGTGAAGTTGATGATACTTATTTGGAAGATGAAGAAAATATGTCTTTGATGCAACCAAAAGAGTTCTCGGGGGTGTTCATGTGAGAACCACAATCATTTGGGAACCAGAGAACTAATTTTATGATGCGTATTGATTGATTAAAAAAACACTATATCAATTTATATATATGAATATATATGGAATGGTTCAAACGAAAACACATTTATTTTACGAGAACGCAATTGTCAATCACATGGGATAACATATTCCATCACATATGATACACGTGTGATAATAAACCAGAGATGCGGACGACCATTGGTGCGACCTAGGTTGCGGGCCAAGTCACTCGTACACCACTAGATCCCCTTACGTGTATTATCACATGTGATAAGAGTGTTCTGATGTTATATTATAATCCATCAAATGTGATACTAAATCAGAATGTAGACGACCTTTGGCATGACCTAGGTCGGAAGGCACATCATCCTCACACCACCGAGTCTCCTCACGTATATTATCACATGTGATAAAAATGTGTTCTTGCATTTTCATAAAATGATAGTGTTCTCGTTTAACATCCACCTTATATATATATATATATATATATATATATGTATAGGCCTAATCAAATGAGAACTAAATAGTTTGTGGTAACTGTAAGGTATAATATGAGCCAATCATTTTAGATATTTAAAGTTATTTATTAAAATAAAACAAATGTTAAATTAGTAAATTGTGTTGATTATTCAATTTACTTTAATTAGTTTAATTATTTTAATATATGCATATATATACACACACACACACACATGGATACACAAGGACCAAATCCAGTGGCCTTCTCGGGTACCCACTACCACTCCGGTGACCTCTTCCGGTCATCTTGTCTGGCCAAAACGCCGTATCCGATTATTGACCACTAAATACCCACCTGCGACAGTGTTACCACAACTAGTATCACAGAGGTCTCAAAGGTTTACTTGATGTGTTTTGAGTATCACATTGTATGTATTTTGGGTATCACATGGTGTTCGTCGGAGGCTGGATGTAGGAGAGAGAGAGAGAGAGAGAGAGAGAGATAAAAAATTAAAAATACCTAAAATACCTAACATGCTCTTTAATTATAATTTTAAGTCAAATTACCAAAAATATTGGTTTCCTAATTTATTCATTGATTTTGGCTGTGATTGGATCTCACAGTTATCACAAACTAATCAGTTCTCCCTTGAATGAACCCCTATAAATATATATATATATATATATATATATATATATATTTTGATGAATATATATTTAATTGTATTTATATTCTATTAATAAGTATATTCAACAATTAATATAAACTAAAACAATTAGTTCTCTGGTTTTCAACATATTTGTGCTTCTCATTTTAATCGGGCTCGGAAGGAATATATTTGAACTTTGTGAACAAAAAAATAACGTGTTGTAATTTTGTGAACGGAAAATCCTTTTAGAAACAAATTACTGATTTTTTTTGTTTAAGACGTCTTCTTGTATACATAAAAATTACAACCTCACAT